CAATTAAAAGAAAAAACTAAGATCATTGAATTTTTTCATAGCACTCGACGAATCCACATATTTTCCACACTCAACCTGATATCATACGAGTGTTAAAAAAGTTGAAAATTTATTAGGAATGTGTTCATTGAAAGGTCAAATCAGAGGAGTTGATATACTCAATGTACTTTTGGATGAGTGTTTAAAAACTGATTTGAACTCATCAAAATTATCGGGAGTTGCGACTGACGGTGCTCCTTCGATGATTGGTGTCAATTCTGGGCTAGGTACTTTGCTGAAAAAGCATCTGCAAGAAAGAAACATAAACGCTAAAGAGCTCATTCAGTTTCACTGCATTATACTCCAAGAAGCCCTATGTTCTAAAAAAATTGAATTTCAAAATGTCATGAAAATGGTAGTTTCGACTGTAAATTTCATAAAATCACGAGGACTCAATCACAGGCAATTCAAACAATTCCTTAATGACATCGAAAGCGAATATGGAGATTTACTGTATTATACAGTGGCTAAGTCGTGGATTGACACTGGAACGATTTCTAAATTTAATAGAAGAAATTGGAATATTTCTGGTGGAAAAGCAAAGGGATGTCCCGGAACTTAAAAATCCTGATTGGTTGTGTGATTTGGCTTTTTTAGTTGATATTACAAATAATTTTTTTGGATGATAGTAACCCCTGGGAAGGGTGATCGCTACCAAGCTATTTCTAATTTGTGTTGTGTTGTTAATTGTAAACATGATTGTAAGCTATTATTTGAAAAAAAAAAATAGTCCCTCTGGGTTTCTTGCTGGTTCTTCCCAGGACAGAGGTTTTTTTTTTGCGAACCAGTGGTAAATGAAAAAATTGACTTTCAATAAGTATTGCTTATAATCTATATTGAATAAAAAAGTTTCTGTTTCTGTTTGAATGTCTTGAACACACCACGGCTTCAAGGTAAAAATCAACTGATATCCCAGCTCTACGCTCATGTATCATCCTTTCAATGCAAGCTGACACTTTTCAGATCGCAATTGAATTCTGGAAATTACAACAATTTTCCGAATTATAAGAAAATGGCTGAAATATTCAACAATACTGCGACTAATTTCAGTTATGTAGAAAAGCTATATATTTTGAGTAGTGGAGGCAAGTTCTGCACGATATAAATTATAACAAGCTATTGCTATCAAAGCAGTGTCCTTTTACAACAGTAAAAAGCAAAGCTAACACGAAGTTTGTAGTTGTACTCAAACTTTGTGCAAACTTTTTAAACTCGAACGGTTTAAAAAGTTTAAAAAAATTTGTTAAGTAACTCGTATTTTATGTCACAATATGATGTTGTTTCTGAGGTAAAAACTTCTTTACGCCTTGGGCGATTTTAAGATAATATATATATATATATATATATATATATATATATATATATATATATATATTATCTATGTATGTATATTGTATTTTCGTATATTGTATTGTATAATATTGTATGTGTATACATACGTACAGATGGAGCTAAAGATGAAACACAGCAGCACCGACCGAGTAGAAAAGGAGTCCCACCACCCATAAACATGCATTATGGAATTATGTTTAGTTAAAAAAGTAAATGTATCACAGCAATAAATAAATCACAGCGTGCATATAATGATATATTTATCTTATTAGAGATTCTATACACGAATAATTAAAATAGTAACAATTTCGAAAAAGAAGTATTATATATGCAACGAAATTAACGTCACCGAATTTGCGGAATTGTTAAATTATTTTCTAAAAGATTGCACTGCATTTTAGAGTTAGCGAAAAAAAAATGATCCTCGTCAAAATCCGTCAGTAACGTTTTCAGTAAGCCTGTTAAACCACAAATAGATCGAACGCGTGAAATTTAATTAACGAGTTATAATTTATTTAAAAAAAATATGAAACAATGTGACTGATAAAATGTACAACATTTTTAAGCAATCAGCAATCAAAATAATAAATTTTAAGACAATTAACTCCATAAATTCGGATTAATTAAAAAACACCTTGTGATAATTAGAATGTCCCCTACGCCGAATTCCACAGTGGTCAGTATCAACGGAGAAGTGAAAGCTCTGTACGAGCTTCACTACATCACCACTTACCATTAGGTTGGATAGTTGTTAGGCACTGAATTACAATAAAAAAAGGAAAGCTACAGCCTATATGCGGCCCACTCCTCGACATGGGCCTCCTCTCATTTAGAAGAGGGTTTAAGGGCAATGAATATTCGAATATTCGCTGCGCTTTCTAATGCGTGTACAGTAAGTACATTGTACTTCGTAATGCATGTAAGTGACTTATATACTGACCAACTACAATGAAATGTGATAAAAAATAATGTATACATATACAAAGTAATGTCGTCGACCTATGCAAGGCAGTACTCACGTACAATACAGAAATTCTCGATATTATAGGGTTAATATTAAAAATTAAAAGGACGCAATAATAATACAAGTCGGTTGACCTTGTAATAAAATTATGGTATTTTCACTTATCACTTACACTACATATTAAAGTGAAATATTAATTTAACTATTATCCATTACAGTTTCAATTTCCTTTTAAACTGTCCATATGACAGAGTAAATATATTAACATGTAAAAAGTTGTTATTATAAGAATTATATGCAAGGGTTATAAAATTGTTCTTGCCATATTTTGTGCGCATAGTAGAATTACAAAATAAAAGTTTCTTTCTAGCACTTATCCTTTGGCATCATGGCATTGACATATTTAAAAAGTAGGCACAAAATTATTTGATTTTTGTACTGGTTCCAAAATTAAATTGATAATATGTTTTCAGAAAGTGTTCTTACTCGTAAGTTGGCGAATACTTTAAATGTTTCAACCGGGAATTGGAAACGTTCTAACTTAGTTTTACCATCCAAGGCCTCGGCGATGTACTTAATTATAGTTTTCTATTTCATGAATATTAAGCTATTTTTTCTTAAATTAACTAGTCACATAAATTAACTAGTGCCAACGTTTTTCCGTATCGTAAGGTAGGTGTAGGTAAAGCAGAAATAATGCTATGGTTTTAGATAGATTTCACTTACGCCAGAACTTAAATACCAGGACAGAAGAAGTGCAGCAGCGACAAAGTTTCCAGGCTACTACAGTTTTCTTCTTTTCCCTCCAGATTATAGATATTCAAATATAACATGTTCCAACCCTATTCCTTTAATACTCTATCCACTTTTACTATACTCTGTTCCTATCCTTTTGTATTTTCCTATACTTTTACGGTCCACGAACTGAATTTAAATTCTAAATTCAGATAAGATATGTTACGGATAACGTTTCCAATATGGCGGTCAGCAACGCAGTGTCTATAAAAAATCCTTATGATAAACAGCTGTACCCAGCATATCTATATTGTTCAGGCTATTTTTTCAAATCTTAAGAGTGTCTTGTTTAGCAGCCGTTATTTAAATAGAACAAAATAAGTTTATCACTTTTATACCATGAACATATATTTTGTGTGTATTAGGCTAAAATAAAGTATATATGTTAGAAATACAGTATTAGAACTTTTTTATTTTTTTACAATTTTATTTATAATTAATACAAAGGTTGACTCCTTCCTTTAACTGCTTACGCACTTGTATCAAAAAGCATAATGACTATCTTATTGGTCTATTGATCGCAAAGCACGGTTGCTTATTATAAGGTCTACGGTTCGAATCCCGGGTTGGGCTAAACTCTGTTATTGGAGCCCGGATTCAGGAAGTTTGAGGTGTTTCACGCCTGCACCTCGGAAGGAACGTGAAGCCGTTGGGTCTGCAGCTGATATTGATACTGATATATCTCTGGTTTTGTCGGATTACCGTTCCATCAGACTATAAGAGTGAGGGAATAGGGAGTGCAACTGCACTTGCTTATACACTCGGGCGTTGTAATACTGTTCTATTTAGATGGCTAGTCTCCGTTGACACCGAACGCCGTGACTGGAATTCGGTCTAGAGGACATTCTTATTATCAGTAAGAGCTTTTTAATTAACCCGATTTTCTAGAGTTGATTGTTACTTGTCTTAAATCTTTGTTATTTTCTTCTCTGATCGCTGAAAATTTTGTAGATTTTTATCTGTCACATTGTTTCACAATTTTTAAAATAAATTGATATTCCTAAATTGAATTTCACGCGTTCAATCTGTTTGTGGTTTAACGGGCTTACTGAAAATGTTACTGACGGTTTTTGACGAGTTTCATTTATTTTCGATTGCTTTAAATCATTTAGAAAATAGTTTATCAATTCCGCAAATTCTCTTTCAGCGTAGGTGGTTAGTAACGCTAACCACCTCTTTTACCTATGATATTCTAAAAATAACGCCACCTTTTGGTAACTTTATTAATGAATATGACAGATATATCCCTAACCTCTATAAATGACGGTTAGGTGTCAGTTGAATTGATTGTCAGTTACAATTACGAACTTGAAATTTGATGGGTTGCGAGTGTTTTAATTCACGGAGATTGTATTATTGGATTAAAAAGGTATGTTTTCGTTATTCTAACGTTATTCTTATTTTAAAATATGTCGAAAGTGTTGCTGTTTACATTTGTCTATAGTATTATTCGTAACATTACTAAAATATTACTTGAATGTGGTGGTTAGTGTAGGTAACCACCGTGACATAATAGGCCAATAAGTTACATATAATTTGCTAGATATTTACAATGGTTTTACGGGATGAAGCGCGCATTACAAGAAAATTAAATTCAAAATATCTTGCAAGAAGATATTCCTTCGGAACCTGAAAGTTGTGTGGAGTCGGATTCAGACTGTGGCTCAGAACCAGACATTGATCAAGCCCCCGAATTCACCCTTGGTAATGACACTATCGCTGTGCAGACATTCAATGACAACTTTGACTCGGATGATGATATACCTCTGGCTAATTTTGTAAGTACCGCTACTACCTCTGCTTCTACTTCTCAACCACGTGATGATATTTCTTCGACATTTCGGCCACCGAAATTGAAAAAAGTTACACTATGAAACTGCCTGGTACTTTTTGTGAGATTTCTGGTATTCCTGAACATATTCAAAGCATGGAAAATATAACGCCTTTACAACTTTTTTGCTTGTTTTGGACAGAGGATTTGCTAGAAATAATCAGCTTTCAAACCAACTTATACGCTGCTCAAACTGGTAAGAACTATAAACCGACTACTCCTGAAGAGATTGATGTGTTTCTGGCTCTAAATTTGGTTATGGGTATTAAAAAGCTAACAAGCTACAAAGATTATTGGGCATCTTCACCTGATCTACATGATAGCTATATCTCCACTTTTATGCCTTTGAACAGATTTGGATGGCTTTTGAATCATATTCATTTGAACGATAATAGCTTGATTCCTTCTAGACAGAGTCCCAACTTTGATAAATTGTATAAAATTCGTCCTTTGTTGAATATTATTCAAAAAAATTTCCGCGCTAATTATAAGCCTTCAGAAAAAGTTGCAGTAGACGAAAGTATGATAAAATTTAAAGGACGGTCTTCTCTAAAGCAGTACATGCCGAAAAAACCGATCAAACGGGGCTATAAAGTTTGGATGAAGTGTGCTGAGTCTGGTTACTGTCTCGATTTTCAATTATATACAGGCAAACAAGAACACAAGAAAAAGATTTGGGTACGACAATAGTAAAGCGATTATGTACAGATCTCAAAGGCAGATATCACAGAGTCTACTTTGATAATTATTTTATCAGTTACAAATTGCAGACTGATTTACTAAACGACAAAATCTTGGCTTGTGGTACTGTAAATCCTACTGGAAAACATTTACCTACACTCAAAGAAGATACTAAGTTAGAAAGGAGTGAACATGACTATCGAGTCAGAGACACAAATGTGACTGTGAAGTGAAGTTCCACATGAAGTGGAAAGATAAGAGGGTAATCCACCTTTTATCAAACTACCACGACCCACGAAATGTCAGTACTGTTATTCGCAAAGAGCGTAATGGTGACTCAAACCAGATAGCTTGCCCTGAACTTGTAAAGGATTACAACGCAAATATGAACTTTGTAGACAAGTTTGACCAACTCAAAAGCTGTTATGCCATTGAAAGAAAGTCTGTAAATGATGGTATAGAATATTCTTTCATTTATTGAACTGCGCGTTGGTAAATTCTTTTGTTATTTACAAAGATCTTCAAAAACTTGATCATATGGGACTGTCAAGACTGACAATGAAGGGATTCCGCCGTTCTGTCTACCAGGGCATTCTTGCCCCTGCTTTTGTGAATAAGCGATCTTACGGTTCCAATATCAGTTCTCCAGCGCATTCTCCGATTCCTGTGCTAATAAAACGTCACAAACCAACAGTTCCCCAAGAAATACGTTTAGAAAGTAGTCGGCACCAACCACAACAGGGCACATCTGTGCGCTGCTGCAAGTGCAGTACAAAATCTCATCCAGTACGCACAGTTTGGGAGTGTAGCATGTGTAAAGTTCCTCTTTGCCTACATAAAGGAAAAACTTGCTTTGCTGATTTCCACAAAAAGTAGTTGAAGTAAGGAAATAATTCTAAAAATAAAGTTCTTTATTCATCACACATGTTTTATTCTATAGCCACGGTGGTTAGTACTGGTAACCACCTCATTCCTCAAAAGCCTTAAGGCTGAAGCAATTTTTTATTTTTTTTTAAATACATGTAGTAGTCCTAACTAATACAGCCATATATATTTTTGTTTATATTATTCGAAATATAAAAGTGTGGCTCAAAGAGTTAATTCATTTAGAAAATAGTTTATCAATTCCGCAAATTCGGTGACGTTAAATTCGTTACGTATTTAATACTTCTTTTTCGAAATTGTTACTATTTTATTTATTCTTTTATAGAAATCTCTAATAGGATAAATACATCATTATATGCACGCTGTGATTTATTTATTGCTGTGATACATTTACGTTTTTAGTTAAGCACGAATCCTTAATATAGGTGGTAGAGTCATGCTGCAGCTATAATGTTGTAGCACGACTGGGTCGGTTCAACCGGGGAAGGACCACGCTCTCACAGAGTAACAGCGTAAAATAGCAACTTAATACTGCTTGTTTCGTATGGTGAGTGTAGAGATCCGAAGACCCTTTTTTACTAGAAACGAAGCATGCCATCTTTGTCCTCAGAGATAATAATGCAAATATTGCCTGCTTAGTTTGAAGTTGGCTGCAGGTGTTCGTGGGATCCAGTAGCTACATACCATCAGGTGGACTGTAGGTTCCTTTTGTTACTTGAGTTTAATATAGAAAAAACACTATTCCGTAAAAACAAAATTGTTCTTCTTTCCGCCTTTTTCTTTAAAGGCTTAGTGGAGTAGTAAAATATTTGTAATAAGAGAAATTTTGAATTTGCAATTATTCCAACAAAGAAAATTAAATTCTGTACAATTTATTCAAAATATTTTTGTTAGCATAAATTGTTATATAAATAATAAGGAAATAAATAAATCAATTTACAACTATTGTTTAATGACGAGACGGGGCAGTGTAACAAAATTGATCAACCCATTTCATGCCGTTGTCCAAATGGTGAATATGGGGAAGGGGTAATAGTCGTCATACCATAACGAATCAGGCTAATCCATCGACCGGAAGAGGCATTAAAGGTGTGAGATAGCTGGTATATATAGGATAACTTACTAAATCTTGGAGACTATGACATATCGATGTTACGACTGAAACAAGAAGATTGTTTTTTATTTATAAATATCGTGGAGGGAGTACACATAAATTGCACAAAAACAAAAATCCAGAACCGAAATAATAGTTTGTAAGCCATACAAATACTGGATTCGTATGGTCTATACTCGAGGCCCGGACTGAGTCACTTCATAGAATCGTCCTTCCGTTCAGATTCTTATGAATTGAAAAAAAGATATGAAGAGAAACTTCTTCAGCTCCTAGTTTTTAAATAAAACTTTTTGCTTAGGGAAAAGCTAAGCGAAAACACTAACTGAAATCCGCAGTAAATTTATTGGACCAGAAAAAAAAGAATGGAAATAGTGGACACATATCTACTAAGGAAATGTCTTCAGTTGGGTAGAGACGATCTAATTTATAGGTTGGGGTAATAAATGCTCTAGCGGCACTCTACTGTGAGTGAATTGAGCATTGAACGGAAAGATTAAGACTTGGCCGAATCTAAATTTGTTTCAAGTTTACAACTGAACAGAATATTTAATATATCGTAATTAAATAGTCTGTTTGTCCAAATAATAGTATAATAATTAATATAAAATTGCCGTTCCAGCCTATTAAAGTCCATTGCTGAACATAAGCGTTCCCCATAGATTGCCTCATAGAAATACTTGCCATAGTTGCCAAGCTTGGCAAGCGGGTTGGCAACCGATGTTTTATATTTAGTTGTTATTAGAAAGACGCTACTGTCCGTATCTTGTCTGTTTCTTGCGTTTTAAGACACCCACGGGGTGATATGGGGTAGTGAATATTCTTACACCGCCACAATACAGTAAAAAATATATAATTATAATAATTAAAAAATCATTTCCTTTTAAAAATAAATTGTTTTCAAAGTCGAAGTTCCAAAAAATTCAAATCAGTTTAATAAATTACAAGTACAGTAAGTTTTGTCATTTGTTTACATAAAAGCCATTTTTTACAGAAATACTCCATCTGTCTGAGTCTGTAGTCAGTGACTCACCATAGAACTTGAAATTATGGAAAAAATTAGGGATATATGTGTGTGTAAATGTTTATGGACCACAAAATCTACTCATTATCAGATGAACTGCGTTATTTGTCACCTTTACCAACAATAATAATAGTTTAATAACCTACAGAAACATGCTAATGATAAAATTATTTTATTTTATCCTGCTGATCCTGATCGAGATACCAGAATAAAATATTTAATTATTGTATTGTTTTCGGTTCTTGATACGAGTGTATATTTTCAAGGGAATCGGTCTTCTACAAGTTGGTGAAAATTACATTAAAAGATTGCGTTACATAGATAGAACTAGCAAAGCTAATAAAAATATGTAAAAACAATTAACAATAAATTGTGCAATGATACAAAGTAGAGTGCAAAAATAAAAAGATTTTAAATAAAATAAAATGCAGTGCAGTAGAATAATGTATCTTTACATTATTCAAAGAGGCTACGAGTGTCCATTTACAAAAGATTTATGCCTCCATTTCGCTGGAGGTGAGGACTGATTTATTAGTTTAAAAACTAAGAAGTCGCGGACAAACTCTTTTGGAAGTACATGAAATAACTACTTTTGAAATTTCTTATTTATTGTTCTTGTTTTTATATCTTATTTAACTAATTTTTATTTGATGACACCTAAACTTTACGTTACAATTGAGATTTGTGAATACCTTGCGGTATTTTGTATCTAATAAAATTATATTCATATGTGGGAAACAAAGCACATGAGACTTCGCAAGGACTTTCATTTGTTTTGTATTACGAACTTTTTTAAATAAGTACTTTCAGTACGTCCTTGTCCGTCGTCCATCAATCTACCTTTTCCCTCCCTCGTACATCTGTCTTACTCTCACCTTATTAACGTTCCTTTTCATGTGTTTCTCCATTCCGCACATGTTTATGAAGAGACGTGGTCAAAGTCATTGCTCAAAGTAGCACCTTCCCTATACGCTCACTGTAAATTTAACATTATGCGAAAGATTCGAATACGATCTCCGCCAAATATAAGTTTTGATTTAGTATGTTCTCAGCGGTGAAGCTAAACCTCGTGAGGAAACTTACAAGTATGGCTAATTAAAACTTTTAAATAAATCTCGTAGAAATGTATAATAATGTTATATTTTATTAACAAAAACGTTTAGCAGGGCTGTAACAATAAACGTGAAAGGGAGTGGTGCCAAATGTATTGTACTAATAATAAACTTAAAAAGATAACTAAAAAATATTAAATTGTTGTAAAATAAACAACAACACTTTACTGGTAACGTGGCATTACATCTTAGTCCTCACGGGTGACAATGCATCTGCATTTTAGTTCTTGACTAAATATAGATATGTCTATGAGCCGTAGCATCCACTTGTCGTCAGGTGGATTAACTGTGTGTACGTTTGTCACCCTTACTTCTATAAAAAGAGGCTCCAACACTAACAGGCTGGCTCGTCCGGGCTAAAACACGGCGCACAACATCTGAATATTTCGTATGATGGGAACGACGAGAACTGCAGACACATTTTACTGGTTAAGGGACATTCTGTCCTAGTATTTAATGGTGCCGAATTTGCATTAAATTCTAGAATGACGATTTGTTACACTAACTTCAATAAAAAGGTTTATAATAAAAACGTTGCACAGTAACGATAGATTTAAAAGAAGATTACTGCAGGGTGATCGACCTATCAATTCGAAGGAATTTAAATTCCGACTGTTTACTGCGGAAAGTCAAGCGCCGAGAAAGCGCTCCCATTTGAATAATTTACAAGGGCGAGGTAAACGTTTTTCAATAAAATGCAAAGCGGCGGAGTATAGAGAGATATCAAAGATGAAGCTCATTGGTACGTTTACATATGAGTAAATATATCAATAAGTTTGTTGGGGTGCACTAATATAATATTTATGTTGAACTTATATCCTTTTACAATCGATAACTAATGGAGAAAAAGTTTCTCGAATGGTAGGCTCGTGTAGGA